AACAGAACTTTGCAGTCATTGTAGACATCGATGTCTTGTCTTCTGATAACAACAAGTATTTCAAATCGACATCGAATTCGTGTAGAATTTGATGGCATTCTTCCACTTTATCGGCGAATATCTTGATTGGCATCAAAGCTGCAGCCATTGTCGGCCACTGACCGCCCAAACCCGGGAACAGTAGCCATAAAGGTCGAGAATTTTTCTCTTTTATTACTCCCATTTGTTTTTTATATTCATATTTTAAATCATTGGTTTTGTCCCACACTTTCTTTATTATCATTGATCCTATAAAGATAACATAAATCACAAAACAAAGTTATACGTTAACTCCAATTTGGGTATAGCTCAAACAATGGTTACACAACGTTGCTATACGTTAACCACAATTCGGGTATTATTTAAAATATAAATAGTATTTATAGATTGCGTTTAAGAATTGCATTTTCTAAATTAAATTTTTAAAACATTGTTTAATAAACATAATTTTCAATTTTTATTCTTTCACTTTATTGTTTATATTTTTAAAATTTTCTAATGTTATTGTTTATATGTAATTTCATAAACATAAGCTAAAATCTTATAGAAATTCATTTTAAAACATTAGTTCTAAAGACTTAACATTTCCCATAGACTTAACATTGTCAATAGGGTAAGCATTAGTTACTTAGATTTAACATTGCCCATAAACTTAACATTTCTCATGTTAATTTTATATTATAGAGTTAGCATTACTTATGTTAAAATATAGTTATAGAAATAAGCTGTAATCCAATGTTAATTCTCCATAGACTTAAAAATCCCATGTTTTCTATGCCATATGTTTAAGCTATAATCTCATGTCAAAACCCATTGGGTGGGGGCGGGAAAGGGAAGGGGCCTAAGGATCCTATAAACCACATTATTCATAGCTTAATTGTGGTTAAAAATTATTTAACATTATCAACATATTTAATATAAGTACAATAGTCTATTGTTAATAAATTTTCAATGTACTTAGCATTGTCCATAGGATTAGCATTAGTCACATGGATTTATACTTGCAAATATAATTTGCATTTGCCATAGACTTTGCATTATCATTGTTTAACCTATGTCTTAGACTTATTTATAAAATAAGTTATAATCTTATAAAAACCCATGTTAGAGTGTTTCCATGTTAATTTTATTAAAGAATCTCCATGTTACTTTATTGTCATAGACATAAACTAAGATCCTATGTTAAATTCAATGGACAGGGGGAGGGCGCCTGACTATCATATATACCATATAATTTATAGATAAATTGTTGTATAAAAATACAATTTATTTTTATTCTTATCATTTTAGAATTAATACCTCTAAATGGCATTCCGGCTGAATTAATATCGGGTGTGAATCTCATTACTGGTGCTAAAAGTGCCAAAAAGTCATTCGTCACTCTCTTTGGGTTGTTTTGTATGAAATCCATCACATATTTGACCGCATCTTCAGTTCGGCCGCAAATGTTTACAATTCTGGGAATTGTTTCCGCAATTTTTAACCCATCACTGGTTCCCAACTTATGGTTGGGTTCAAACAATACGTGTGCATTCGCACCGCCGATACCAAAGTTGTTCACAGCAGCCAACCCTTTTACAAAAAATAATTATTAGTAAGAAATCAAATAATAAAATTATTATATTTAGAAATTTATACATTTATATATTATCTACGTTTAATGCTATTCTATAAAATGATTTGACACATTAAAGTAGTGTAAAACCGAGGCATTAGTTACAGATAAACTTACTATTATATACAAATAATGTTCGATTAATTGTTTTATTCAATACGTTATTGAACAAAACTTTAATAATTATAATAAATAATTTTTTGTGAATAATGCATCAATTTTGAATTTGGTTTTAATGGTCGTTATTGAGGGGTGACATTTTGAAATGATTTACTAGCTGGATATATTAGTTTATAAAATATTGCTAAATATAAATAAATATATAAATACAATGTGTAATTAAATCAATAAACTAATAATGATAATATAATATTAAAAATGAACAAAGTTAAACAATAACCATGTTTACATAATAAAACATGTGTAACCCAATTTGGGATAGAAATAAAATAATCATTGTACAAACAATATAAATATTACCAGGTTTATACGGATACTTCTTAGTAACTGCTAGCAGTGGTGGAAAATATATTTCCAATTCTTTCTTTAATTGATTTAAATTAAGGTTCGGAGGAATGCATTGATTTTCGAATGCAATCAACACTTTAATCACAGCCGCGACTCCAGAGCCGGCTTCTGAATGACCCATATTGCTCTTCAACGCCCCTAACGGCAAGGGCTCAGTCCGGCCCTCACAGTATGCGTTATATATCGCTTTGATTTCCTGTAGATCACCAACCTTAATTGTAAAATTAAAGCATATTTTTTGCAATTTTCATGATGTACAACAAAAAAACCAATTCTATTTTAAATTAGTCATTTACTTTGGTTCCAGTTGCATGCGTCTCAAAATAAGTTAAACGAGCTGGATCAATTTTAGCTGACATGTAGCTCTGTCTCATGAGCTGCTCTTGTGCATCGGCCGATGGGTGAAACATTCCTACCTTTTTCTTCCCATCGATGTTCATGCGCGCGGATACGACCTGTGCGTATATACGGTGTGCATTCCGGCGGCGCTGTAGAAACACCGCACATACGGCCTCTGATTTGACGTAACCGTCGGCCGATTCGTCAAACACGGCGGACACTCCTCTCGGAGAACAAATACCAAACTCCTGTTGCACTTGATTTATAAACGGCTCAAACACCATATGAGTGCCGCACACTATTGCCGCATCCGTATTGCCTATTAAAACAATTTTCCTGATTATCATACTTGATTTTCAATATGTCACATGCAGCCTAACCAAGCATTAGATCATTATAAGCCAGTGTCATAGCGGACAGACTGGCCGAACAAGCAGTGTCCACTATAAGTGAGGGCCCTTTAAAATCGTTGACAAATGATATACGGCTCGGGTAGAGATATTTTGTGCAATACAGTGTCTGAAACAATGTCGTCTTTACCGATCCATCCACATCCGGATGAACGTCATCCGGATATCCGTCTGACGAGTTATACATTGTAACGCCTACATAAACACCGGTGTTTGAACCACGTAATGATTGCGGGTTAACACCTGTATTTGGTTTTGGATATTGTAAAGTTATATTGATTAATCGCATAAATTTCAACATTTTGATCACAAGACTTAAGTATAAATTACATCTCTAACTTTAACTTTAATTCCGTTTTTATTTTCAAAATTACTTTTTTAGGGAATATTTTAGCATTAAAATAATGTAAAAACACCGATAATTTAATTGCAAGCCATTTCTGAACATCTCTAAGTGACCCTCAATAGTTTATTCCCTGTATCCCTACCCGATGAACATATCCTCAGCCAACATGTTTGGCATCGGAGTTCAGAACGAGTTTCAACGCTCCCTATATGGCTAAAACTCGATTTTTCAATTAACGATATTTTGTGTTTAGATTAATATTTTTGAAAACTTGTTTTGTACTAACATAATCAACATTTATTGTAGTAACTAAAAAGATAATTCATTGTATTTAAATCTAATTTTATTTTACCCTCCCAAAGTTTAACATGCAAAATAGGTCATTTGTTGCATAGAAACTTACAATGCTATCATGATGGTTCTAAGTTTGTGCAACACTGTGACACCTTCTATAGCCACCCCTAACCACCACCCCTCCCTATAATATCTACATTAGCAAATTAGTAGGGGTTTCGTAATTGCCCTATATTTCAAAACAACGATCACACAGCGATGCTATACGTTAACCACGATTCGGGAAATGCATCAAAGATTTTAAGTTTTTCAATACTATTGTTAAAATACTTTCACGATCATTATTTTGAAAATTTTAAATGTTTTTGACAACAATTAATTCTATTTATTATGGCAGATTCATTTATAACCCCATTTTTAACCACAATTCAGTATGAATAATGTGGTTTATAGGATCGTTATAGAACTAATTGTTATCAAAAACATTTAAAATTCTCAAAATAATAATAGTGAAAGTATTCCAACAATAGTATTAAAAAATTTAAAATCTTTGATACATTTCCCGAATTGTGGTTAACGTATAGCATCGCTGTGTGATCCTTGTTTATTGATATACCATTACCCATGTTATCCTTATGCCATAGAC